ATATTAGAAAAACCTTGTTCACTTGCTATCTCTTGCCTTGTTCCTCAAGGAAAGGCTATCTCACTACTCTGCTTCCCCCGTTTCCAGGATCCAGTTCTGTGCAGTGTGACAGTTGGTGTTTCACATTTTGAGAGATGTGCCCTCTGGGTTCAAGTCTTGTACTACCCCTTCTATGGAAGTGGTGGGGCTGGAGATTACGACGGTGATTACACGGAAGAAGACTCTAATATTATCAGACAAAAGAGAAGCTTAAGGCCAGAGCTAGGAGAACCTGTGATTTTGAGGTGTCTTCCTTACAAGATCCCGTTGACTGAGCTTCTCTCGCCGCATAAAATATCTCCTGTTGAGTTTTTCCGCCTATGGCCCAGCTTACCTGCAATTGTAGAGTATACTGGCACTTACACTTATGAGGGAACTGGCTTCAAGGCTACTGCTGCGCAGCAATATGGAGCATCTCCTTTTTTGAGTGGATTGAAATCTTTGTCCACCAAGCCTTTCCATAGTGTTTGCTCATATATTATTCGAACTTTGGCAGGGTTTCAGGTGAGGTTCTGTGCTCTCTTTTATATGTTTTACTCACTAAGCTCTCGCTCCCTTAAGAAAAAGGGGGGAAAACCCAATTCGGACATTAAAAGATGATTGATATAAATGTTATATTCCTGGGAAGTTGAAGCTAATTCGTCTTCAATTTAACTAATAAATTGAGTTCTGTCGATCCATTACTAACTTTTCCTATTTGAATGCTTGTAGCTTTGTTTGGCTGCAAAAACATGGTACGGGGGGTTTGTGGGCATGATGATATTCGGAGCTAGTGAAGTAAGCAGAAACGTGGATCTAGGTGATGAGACAACGACCATGATTTGCAAATTCGTTGTCCGAGCATCTGATGCATCAATTACAAAGGAAATTGAAGCCGATCCTCAAGGATGGCTAGATGACATAACTGATGGAGGTGTCGAGTACATGCCCGAAGAGGAAGTCAAGGTGGCTGCTGCAGAGAGGCTGAAGATATCAATGGAGCGGATAGCTTTGCTCAAGGCAGCTCAACCTCCACCAAAAACCCCAAAATCAGACGACGATGACGATGACGATGATGAAGAAGACAGTGAAGGAGAGAAGAAGAAGAAAGATAGTGAGGAAAACGGCAAGGGACCATCAACGTTGTCGAAATTAACTGCAGAAGAGGTCGAGCACCTTGCACTTCAAGCTGCAGTCCTTCAGGAATGGCACATGTTATGTAAGGATAGAGCGAACAAAGCTAATTAAGCTGCCTCATTTTTGTTTCCTTAATATGTAGATTCTCTGCCTTCTAGTTTGTTGAGGATTAGCTCATTTGTGTAATTTTGTCTGCGAGTGTGCTCTCATTCGGATCCCTCCCACCGCCACCCCCCCGGAACGACTCTGCTTGTGTAATGTATCATGTATCTGTTAGTTCTTATATAGTTAGTTTTTTTTGAAAGGTTATCAATACGTTTCTAATATGCATCTTGTGGATTGATGAATTCTCTGATATCAGTTTTATCTTCTTATTTGAAGGAAGGAAAGAAGGAATGAATATGTTATTTACAGTTATGGGTATCCTGTTTCTGCTCTTGTAGTCTGATTTTGGTGACAATGAGTAGCAACTTGTTGAGGTGCAGACACATGGTTGATGGTAGTGACAATGGAGAAGGAAAAGAAAGGGAAGCCACATGGATGAGTGCTAAGGTATTTCATTACTTCTTCTCCAAGGTTTTTTACTTTATGAATAAAAAGAAAAGAAAGGAAATAGTTGTCAACTTAGCTATAGGGCCAGGCATTTGGTCATCGTGAATGTTGTTGTTTTTTTTTTTTTTTTTTAGTATAGTACGACTTCATGACAAATGAGATTTTGCTCCTTTTTCGGTGAATACCAAATTTGGAGTATGTAGCACATTTTATTCTTATTTTGGTAAAACTACATCAAAGGTGTTATAGGTGAAATTGAACTACGACAAATGGGTTGAAAACCCATATAAACTACGAGCCAAATAAAGCAAACAATTCCAAAGCAGATCAAAATGACTTGAACAAAACGAGAACTGAGTCACCAAGCAAGAAAAGAAGAAAAATGACTCGAGGTACACCCCGAGTTCATTCTCGGCCACCTATGAGACTCATACCACTGCCTCCTTAGCCTATGCGATCCTAATCTTCATCCTAATCTTTCCCAGTTACCTAATTTAAAATATCTTAAATTTTAAACATGTCTAATAAGAACCTAAACGGTAAACATGTCTAATAAGACCATGAACTTTTAATTCGTGTCTAGATAGTTCGTATATTTTAAATATAGTCTCATAGACTAGCAAACTATATTATACACAAAATTGAAGATGTAAAGCCGATTAGATATGTTTTCAAGTTTAAAATCCAAATAGACACAAACTTGAAAATTCTATACAATACCAAACCGACACGTAATAAAAAATTGAGAGACGAAACTTATAATTTAATCGGAAGGAGATGATGAGAGTATCTCCAAAAACATGCATTAAGAACAACATTTATTTTACAAAAAAATAAAAAATAAATAAAGAATATGACTGGAGGAAGAAAAAGGTTAATAATAAACCTTGAAAAGAAAAGTAAGCTACAAATAATAAGAGAAACTGTGATATCCACAATCTAACAACAAAGCGGCAACTACAACATGTCTGTCTACAACAAATGAACATTACACATAAATTAACAGACACAGGGAACGAAAACAAAATGCTTTTGTAGTAGGGAGGACAGAAATGTGGTATTTGGATAACAAATGCAACTAAATTTCTGATAGCTAACCATGAAAAGCTTTAAGAACCAGTAGGTTCACAGGCTATCTTTTTCAACAAGAGGGAGAGGACGTATCTGATGTGTTGTCTTTCGAACTCGGAGAAGAAGTCGGTCCTTTCATTTTGATGTCCCCCGTTGGTTGCTGCTGAAGCTGATGCAGCTGATGGTACTGAAAATGTTGCTGTTGTTGTTGCTGCTGCTGCTGCGAGTGGATTTGTAGTTGCTGAAATTGCTGAGCAGTTAACAAAGTGTGCATTGCTTGATTGTTTGGGTAAAATGGTTGGCTGGCTCCAAAGGATGCAAAATTTGACATTGATCCACCATTTGGGATTGCTTGGCCAGTCAATATTTTCAAATGTTGAATTTCCTCTTTCAATGCTTCATTTAGAGCTGTCAAAAGAGAGATGCTAATAAAGATGAAGCCCCACAAGAAAATTATTGAATCGTCATCATGACACAATTAAGAACGGTTTCCCTCCAATTCTACTTCTAACTCGAGAAATCTTCTATCATGTCAAGTGGTCAAAATCTAATACACTAGGGTAAATTGTAATGACCCAAGTCCACTGCTAGCCAATATTGTCCTCTTTGGACTTTCTCTTTCAGACTTCTCCTCAAGGTTTTTAAAACACATCTGCTCGGGAGAGGTTTCTACACCCTTATAAAGAATGTTTCGTTCTCCTCCCCAACCGATGTGGGATCTCATATCAATGTTGTTCCTAAAGGCAGTAGTTACAAATGTAATGGCTTTTAATTTGTAGAGGCACACAAATTTCTAGCCTCACATGAAGAAAATATAACAACCTATTTGTTTGAGTTCAAAAACATTTATAGGTAGAGGGATTTGGACCTTTGAACTCTTGGTCGAGGGTATATGTCAAACCGGTGAGCAATTCTCACCTTGACGAGAAAACATAACAATCTAAAAGCACGATGTTCGGAAATTAGAGATCAGGCCTCGATCAATCAGTCTCAAAGACAATTTCTACAACAGAGTACCTCTTAACTGGAACCAGATACCATGTGTAAACCAATATAAAATGTGCAGTGTACATGCCAATTCTTGCAATGTAACATTGCATGCAGGCAGGATCTCTCAAATCATTTCGGTTGTAGAATTATCTATCAAGCATGATCTATTCAGCAAGAGAGAGCTGCGAAATGTTTTCTTTAAGCATATGGTTAATTGCAGCTGATCCATAATATCTACGCAAACAAATAAACAAAATGATCCATAATTTCTAAACCCCTCGAGTTTCCAATTACTTAATCCTCCAAATATCGACATGCATTACACAATGTTTTCAAGATAGTGACCGACAAGGTAAGGCAAGCGCCATGTGCTTGTGCCTCCTACATAGCCCATCCAAGTGCCTTAATTCAACATCTAGACTAGTTTCATATCTTTAATGCAAATGAGGCTTGTGACAATAAGCAAGAAGCTCAATACACTGGTTTAACCGATGATAATAAACTAATTGAGAAGCGCAATAAAAGCCAGAAAACCACAGCTCAGCTCCTTTCAGAGAGCTGGTCCACTCAACGAGAAGCCCGGTCATTAACTATTTCAATATTCACTAGAAGCACGAGCGCAATCCAATATACAGGTCAAAATGAAACTCGAAACGAGATTCTAATATCTGAAGAACCTTATCTTCCCACTTCACAGTCACCAAATAAAGTTCTCATCTTCCTGCATAATGGAATCCTTCCTCAGATGTCTATTGATCAACTTCCTACAACCATCTCACTAAACTGTGTCAAGTATCTCATAGGCTGCCAATTTTTATCTCTCTCAACAAAACACATTATATCCTATAATCATTAACAAGTTCTAATCTGACGCTTCATCTAAATCAACTTTTCTCTTCTGTATCAACTCTTACAATGTCTCTATAAATCTTCGCTCGGGTCATACTTGTACTAAACCCCTGACCCATAGGCCATATCTTAACTGATAAATCTCTATGTCATAGGACAGAGACTCCAAGGAACGCAACTCTCTATGTATTTAAAAAATGTATATAAAATTATCTTCCAACAAGTACCTTCGATAGTTACAAAATAGAGAGATTACATAAAAAGCTAAGAGAAGGCAATTATAATGTGCAGTCACCAAAAAAAAAAAAAAAAGATTACAGAGGTCCTTACCATCTTGCAGGTGAACCTGCTGCTCCATTGTCTGCAACCTCAGCTTAAGCTCACTGTTCTCAGCAGTAAGACCGTTTGTGTCTCTCTGATAATAAGGAGGCAATACGTAAAGCAAGATGTTTTATATAAACTCAAATGCAGATAAAACAGAATGCTGGAATGAAAATCATATGAAAACATAAAATACACATCCAAAAATACGATAAACACGATTAATTTTGTGATAACCACCTGTAAGAGGGTTAATTGAGCAGATAATGAGGTTGCCTCTGTTTGCAGAGTCTGAACTTTCCGTTCAAGCTCAGCAATGTACCGCATCTTTCTTTCCTTTGACCTAGCAGCTGACTGTCTATTTGCCCATATCCTATGCAATGCACAACAGAGGGATTATGAACAAATTTGGAAAAGTTGGAGAAAACAGGCTTTAAATGGAGAGGAAGAGGTAGTAAACATGGAAAAAAAAAAGGCTCGAGGCTCTTCAAGCTCTAAGAGAACACACAAACACAATCCATGTAAATGAACTCAACACCATTTAAATGTAAAATGATGCATCAGAACTCGACACAAATGATTGGGTTCCACTTTCTTAGAGCCAAAATTCATCAAAAAAGGTCTTGATAGACAAAATATTTTATCTTGATGGAAAATGAAGTAATTCCATCAGAAGATATACTACAAGAACAAAGAACATACACAACCAAGACAAATGATTTGGCTTCTATCTATCAAAATTTAAGATTTTCATTCATTAGAGCGCAATGATGTACAGCATGAGGAGGCCCCAGAGTTTATTCACTAGTTCATAAGTTACAATGGTAATAGTTGCTTACACTAAACTTATTGTCAAAAATTGACAAAATCACTTCATAGCGTCATGCATTTCTTGCAACTAAGATAGAGCATCCAACGAAGTTGAAGGATTTATACCTCTTTGCACGTTTGGGGTCAATTAGCGCAAGCTCAGCAAGCTTTGTAGCTGACATAGCTTTCTTGGAATCAGCGGCAGAAACTTCTTCAGACCCTGAGACAAGCATCTCAGGCTTTATGGTTGACAAGCCATCCATGGACTGGCTGTGCTGGTGCCTAACTCTTGGCCTCTCCTTCAAACCAACAGCAGCATCATCCTTAGAAGTTGTAGCTCCAATTCCTGAAGTAGGAGTTGATCTTGCTTCTACAGCAGCGGAAGATGACTCCCCAACTTGCATTGCAGAGGTAGCAGAGGAAGAATTGAATTTATCCATGTCAAGGTACATGGACAACAAATCTTCCTCAGTATCATCAGAAAAGGAAGGCCCATCAGCACCACCGATGACACCAAGGTCACTGTCAAAACAAATATCATCAGGAAGAGTCAGAATCTCGGAATGGGCACGTCGATGACCCATATTTCTCGGCGGGTTATCAGGCATCCGACTAATATCATGGCTGAACCGATTGGAATCACTGGACATTCCACGACCAAATTGACCCGAATCGGAAGAATTAGGACTCGGAGCCATTGGAGGAAGCGACATTGAACACGAAGCAGTCTCGGATTTTCCATTGAAACTACTTGCAGTTGGTGAAAGACTCGAGTAGCGACTCGATGGGGGAAGAAATCCACCAGAATGGCTTTGGGGTTTGTCCTTCTCCATGAACTAAAAACACCCTTGTAAAGCAACTAAACAATTCTTTTCATCAAACAAGCACAGCTCTCCACATTCAACCAAAGCTCCAAAATGGGTATTCAAGAAATCAAATCAAATCAAATCAAAGGCCCTCAACTTAAGCAAGCATTAGGAATCAAGTGGTGGAAATGAAGAGGAAGAACACAACAACAACCAAGGCGTAGATTGCAAGAAAACCAAACTACAACCAGAAATCGAAACGGGATAGTAGTAGAGAAACACGCGGCAGAGAATAGAGAGAGAGGCGCAAGAAATGGGGGAAGGGGAAGAAAAAAAATGGGGGAACGATGACTTTTGCAGGGTATGATGAGAGAGAAGGACAGCTGTAGAGAGGGAATCGGGTCCGAATTTACGCAATCCAACAAAATTAAATCAAGGGTTTTAATAATTTTGTAACAAAAGGTGGGCTCACACAACAAAAAGATAATTGTCCTCTTTGCTTTTTTTTAATAAAATACGAAGCTCACAAATTTTTTATTTTCCAAATAAATATTAAAGTTATCTTCATCCACAATTTTCTTTTTTTTTTAAGGTTTTGGTGTAAGAGCATCCTCCTACTCTTTGACCGAATAATAAAAGCGTATTAAATAAAGCGGTTCCTAAAACTTGGATCTTATAATTATAATTATGGTTTGAACGCATATGCCTCTAATGAGATGGTGTATAGCACCACGAAACTTTGCAACCATGTCATTCTTGACAACGGTGATCGCCAACGAGAAGGTGGCAGCCGACTATGTCATACTTGGCAGTGGTGATCGACGGACGGCCGCTTACCACATAATACATAGTTTCAGTATACTATAATTATATCTAAAGAAAAATCTCTCATTTCACACCTTTTTCTCATTGGAATTCCTTGATTAGAGTTCACCACAAGATTTTGGAGCACGAAGTGAGACATTTCTCTCTAGTTCTTGGTTAACGTTATTATGTGGAAAAACCCTGCTTTTCTCAAATATTAGAGATGAAACTAGTACTATATATCTGTCTTAAAAACCCAGATTTTCTCAAACATTAGAGATAGAAACTAGTACTGTGTAACATTAGAGATGGAACTAGTACTCTACATCTGTCTTTGACCTCTCGATTGAATTGCAAACTAATTCGGTAAGAACGAGGAAAAGTATAGCAAACAAGATAAAATTTTGAGGATCTGTCTCTAACTCAACATGTGGAGTACATCAATCAGGGTTGAGTTATCCAACCTAGAGCTTCCTCTTTTGGTTCAAGTGCCCTGTTTTTCTACTGTGAACATCTTTCTTTTGACCTTCCCTCCACATTTGGAATATTCCCCGAGCCCCAAACTGTTCTATAAAACAACTTTCAAATAGTTCAAAAAAATAAAGATGGCAATGTAGAATATATTGACAGAATAATGATCTAATTAATAGATAGTATTTTAAAAGTTCCTAAAAAGTTCTGAGACCAAAATAGAACAAAATTTAAAATTTAGAAACCAAAGTAACTTTAAATCACAAAGTAAAAGGCTTAAGAAATTGCGTTGCATTCAAGGGGAGAGGGAATTTGTATCATCTTCAAGACTGTACGGTGTGTCAAGGAAAATGAAATTGCAGCCCCACGTTTGAAAAACTGCCCTAGCTGCTGGCTACCAATAGTACAAGTAATGTTGTTGATAGAAAAGGAGGGAAAAGCCAGACTCAACCCAAATATTCATCAACATCTCGGTTGCACCTGCTACACTACGCATCGCATTTCAACGTTTTATTGCACAGAGATGGTATAAAATATTGTGAGAAGATAAGAACCCGGGTCGAGTTTTCTATTAAGATAGATTAGCTCCATTTCGCTTCTCCTGGGGGGAAAGACTTTATATATTCTGGTAGAAACCTGAGAAAGCTAACGGATAGATTGGAAGGAGATCCAATCGAACAATCTTCCAATCCTTCAACGTTCTGGGATTCTGCTCTAACGCTTTGACATTGCAACTTCGTTAGGTTGATGTGATAATTTGTTACACCAGAGAGATGACATCAATGGAGGTGGTAAATGACTTGCAAGTACACTCTTTAATTCCATGATGCTGATGAAAAGGAACTTAGCAAATCCATCAATCTCGATTTCGTATTGCTCATACACAAAGAATGCAGTGAATGCAAACACCAGTCCTACAATGTTATTACCATTGGTTATTGAACTAAGTCAGAAGGAATAAGCACTGCCTGGTGTTATGGAATAAACTTAGTTGTAACATACCCATGCCTATCAGCAAAGTCAAGGATCGTGAGAGAAACAGCTTGAGGACGTAAAGAAATGTTACGGCCTGTACAATCAGTGAAACGTTTAATTATGTGAAATATACAACACAAAACGGTAAGTAGCACCATTTAGAACCAACTATTCTATTAGCTTAAGATGAATTTGAAGCAGTAAAAAGCTCAAAATTTCGATCGTGCTTAATTATATGATCAAAATTTTGATATTTCTAAGACTTACAGTATTTGAAAATTCATGTATCTGTTAAACAAAAAATTGAAATAGTTTTATTATGCATAAAATATAAAAGAATGTTGAATAGATTTGGACCAATCACTTGAAGCCCTATTAAACCTATTAAAGACCTTTTAAAGTTCAACAACTTATGACATAACCCTGGAAGTTAACACTATATTTTCCTCTTTTTTTTCCACACATTATGTCTTTCATAAACAACAAAAAGAGATTTGGTTTCTTTGTCACCGTGCCTATTGGGTCTCTCGGTTTGCACTTAAAGAAAATACTGGGACAAAGTGCACGCAAAACTTCATGAAATACAAAATTTCACAAACAGCACAGCAGCACAGCAGCGCCTTATATAAACAAAGTAAGAGTGTCGAAGTCATACCTTAAAAAAATAATTCCAATCCTCTCCTCGGGCCAATGATCTTGCGTTATGTACACCTCTATTCCACAAGCATGCTATGCCCATGATTGAATCTCTGACTACTGTATCAGATGGTCCAAACATAGTCGCAGATAATTTCTGGACAGGAAACCCATATCTGATGGTAAAATCTCAGCATCAGTTCAACTAAAATTAAAATAGTGATGAATAACACAAAAAAAAAAAAAAAAAAAAAAGGACTCGTCATGATCATGCACTTACACGAGAAGACAATAATCATATGGGAAAAAATAATTGCAGAAAAATAAATCAAGGATCCTAGAATTTTGGATGTGAAACATCTCACTTCCACTTCCACGATAATGAAAGTAATCATAAAGTCATAAAAGATTCAGAATTGTAATTTCTAGAAGCTATGCTGAAGTAGCATTTCGGCTTCATGAGCATACTTACATGTTTGTTGGTATGAAGCCATATCCATAAAGGACGACAACGATACACAACAGAAGCTGAGCTACCGATGATATAAAAGTTCCTCCACGTAGAAAAAACCAATAAAACAATAGAAACGAAGCAAGAAAACACGTGAATGACTTCTTCTCTTCTCGCCATAACAATATATCGGCAACTGCAGAAAGAATCCAATGTCATTCTCCAAGTACAGATTTACCTTATGTTACGGAGGTAAACCAAATAATGCAGCAATAAGGAAGAACAATTATAAATTTGAAATGGTATACAGATGAATTTCAACATTCATCAGTAAATGAGATTCTTCTCCATAGAGTATTTTCTAGCATAGAAACAAGACTTCTCATCAATAAAATGAAAGGAGTACGAGTACAAGCAAAATAGAAAAGAAAAAAAAAAAAAGAACCCATCAATAGAAGAGAAAACCAGACACACAAAGCACCCCAAAATATTACATAAAACAACCAACTTCCCCCAATATGCGAAAGCTTTCTTCTTTTTTTCCTTTTCTTCTTCTCTTCTCCTCTGTTAGACATGTGTAAGAGTATATTAAAACCATACCCTGAAGGACGGATAGAGGAAACTCCCTCCCAAAGAGGAAATACTACAAAAAGGCTTTCCAATTTATAACACATGCAATTACAAATGAAATCTGTGATTTGAATTCCACTCACAGGCCAAATATCCGTGTAGTAGCCTAAATAACAAAAGAGAGAATTTTCCAAAACAAAAATAATAACCCACAGGAATTTATTAACAAAAGTGTTCAATACAAGAAACTAAACCTTTATTTGTAGAGGATTTAAAATGACATATAAAGGATATTGTATATCAAGCATGCTCCCAGTCAGTCCCAGTTGAGCCGCTGGGGGTTCTAGTTAACTACATAATGATCAAATTGAATGAGGTGATGTTCATGCATTTATTTTGTCAATTGGCAACAACCATTCAAGTTACATATAAAATACAAAAAATACAATCATCTAAAGAACACAAAGTCGATAAGTTGAAATCAGAAAATTCAACTTCATGACGATTGAAGTAGTCTAAGCATTATTAATATAGAAAATGATGCTAAATACATTAAATGAGAAAAAGTTTGAACCTCTTCCACCACCCAGCAGCTTATCGGCTTTTGATTCTTCGGTAAATTCAGTGAGACTTGCAAGAGATAATTCTTTGCGCAAATGTGAAAATGATTCAATGGTTAGTGTGATGCCTTCCTGTAAAGAAAAAGAAAAGGAGAACAAAAAGTTGTAACTGTACTGCTATCAGTGCTTCAAACAAAGGTGCGACTGTTCCAATCAAACAGAAGTTGCAGAAGATTTGTAGCTGCATCATCTACGTTAGCTTCTCTAACAAATCCAAAAATTCAGCTAGTCCCTAGCTCCATAATGCAATTGTTACCACCTTATTTGGGAAGATACCATGAAAGTGGCTTTCGGGTGTCAGAAAAGTTCAAGAGGAAAATAAAAGCATGAATTCCATGAACTACATGTCCAGAAGCAGCAGCACTTTGAAAAGCACCCAGGCAAAAGGCACCCTGCTCCCTTATGAAGCACGCCTCAGTGCTTGAAGCCGGATTTTAAGTTTTTAAAATTTTATTAGGAAGAAAATAAGAAAGCCACATTAGATATTGGGGCCTCTCTCCCTACTCCCTAATAAAAGCTCTAATTTCTTAAACTTTCAATAATCTTATTATTCATAAACATGTCATTTTCGTGTTTATACCCTAGATTTTTAAATATAACGTGTTAAAGTGTCCCATGTCGTATCCGTGTTTCGTACTTATATTCGTGCTCCTAAGCCTTTTACCTTTATGAAAATTCTAACTTTCTATAAGATATTAAGAGTAAGAGAGGCTAAGGCATGCACTCTTGTCAATAAGATTGAGAATCCAAGATGAGTTGCTTTTAGCCAGTTAATCCTTTATTCTCTAGAAACAACAATAATAGCCTGTCTGTTTCAAGGAACATGATATGGGCTTTTTGCATGGATGATCACTATCCATGTTTGTTAAACGGATTTTAATTTTGTAACACCTGGATGTCAATTTTCCCTGGGTTAAAGTATTCTGCTGAGCTTTGATTTTTATCACCCCTTTGGAGGACGGGAACCATCTTTAACTTTCTCTACCACTGAATTGCACAAAGGATAAAGCTTCGGTATACTCCCTTGAGGGAGACCCAAATACAACAGGGGAGTTGGTAAACCTCATAACCCCCAAAGGTCGCCCAAGACAATTTAAAATTCAAGTTCTTCATTTACAACCAAATCCTTTTTTCCAAAGGACTAAACCAAAAAATCCCAATCAGCATAATCATATGTATCCTGTCTTAAGTATCAATAAATTAATCAAAGATAGGATAGTAAACAAAGACAAGTGAGAAAAACAGGAGACAATTTTCCAGAAAACAATTTAAATAAAAATATTGAGTGGAAGAGAAACTGATAGATATTTTCATTACAACTTACTTCCATGGAGACTATAGGAGAGTACCCAAGTTGTTTATGTGCAGCAACACAGTTAAAGGTTCTAGTGCACGTGGCTAGCTGAATGTAACGAGCCCAAGTGGAATGATTATATCTACTGAATCCAAACTTTTCATGTATCCATTTCAAAAACAAGAGAACATTCCAAACCATCTTAAAGGGAAGTTTTACGGATGGCCTGCCAGAACACATAGCAAGATAGAATTACAAACGAAAGAGAATGAGAACTAAAAATTATCTAGCCTTAGTATCCTCATCAAATATATGCCAACGCAAGCATAAAAGAATTAGGAAAGGGATCGACAGAACAACAAAGTCTAAAAGTTCATGGACTGTAATTCTGTACCTTCGGTAACCCAAGCCTCCCAAAATGAGAGAGATAAATTCCCAAAACTTCATGGGCTTAAAATTGGTGATGAAAAATGCCTACATAATGATAAAAAGGAAATGCTTTCTTATGAACCCTATCACTAAAATTATTAGAAAAGGCCATGTATCAATCTTTTAAACGTGATACCTTTCCAGCCACAGACACCATTCGAAAATCTAGTGCTTCCTCTGCACAGATATGGGCATGGGTCACATTCTCAACAAATGTGAAGTCAGACAGGTTTTCGCCATTCCCTATAATGAACTGAAATGAGAAACTCTGTTACTTCAATAAGAGTAGACAATGTACATCTTGTATAGATCACACTAACAGGCATGCGTTCTCAATGCATTAAGTTTACTTTGAGAAAAGAAAACACGAGTTCATCAAGTACTTCAATATTAAAAAGATCCTATAGCTATTCTATTAACTGTATTCCATTTTTTCTCAATTCATTGTTTATTCTCAATTAATTATTAGATATATGACCTTCTACAATGAATTGTATTATGGCACCAATTTCTACTAGGTCTATGGTTCTTATGCTTACGCTCATTTAAATGGTAAAGCACAAATAATCCACAATATTTTATGGATTTTACAGAAGTTTACATGCAGCACTAAAACAAAGCATGGAGTAAAACATAAATAATTTTGCAAACCTTAGCCAAACCAGATTTTGCCTGATTCACCACAAAAGGAACTAGTCGTGTGTCTTCCGGCCCAAAAACATTGCTTGGGCGAAGTGCACATGTTAGAAGTCCATCTATATCGTTGGCAAACAGGATGAGTGCTTCAGCTTGAGCCTTTAGGTCACTCAACATGTCCTCAAACTGTACATAGTACTCACTTGATGAGGAAATGATTAGCAGAAGAGAATGTTAGGGATGTCCAAAATAGATGACTGAGAAATAGTTCAGATAGCAACATACTTTCCGTGGGTATGCCAATGGTTCCTCTCCATTTTGTATATCACGTGAACCATCAAAAATTACATCAGCTGAACTGTTGAATATTAGCCGTCTTACTTTGCAGTCTCGACAAGCATTAATGACATTTTTGGCACCTAAATGAGAAATCAAGATGCTGGCAATTACATCTTTCTTTGAAGTGGGATATGTTCGGAATAACAAGGGTTCTTTCAAATGGTTAACGGCTTTCTATACCTTGAACTATAAACATGTATGAGAGATAAATATCATTTGAATGTGAATCTTCATAGTCCATATAAAACACAACAGAAGAACCACTGAGAGCTGCAAAAGGAAAAAAAATCATTCTGTCATACAAGTAGCTGGTACCTAATTAAGTAATCGACATATTTATGGATAGAAAATAGGCGTCAGAGATGGAAGCAATAACAGTGAAGAATGGCAATAAACTCACATAACAATTAATCATTCACTATGGAACTTTCAGTTCTCTCCTTCTCTCAAAAAATTTTCTAAGCTTTCAAGCAGATGAAGGTTTTTACAGGAAACCTCCCATCGCTATTGATAGCTGAAAATTTTTTCTCCATCGAAGACATTCCATTTTATTTATTCAATTATTTATTATGATGCAGTTGAGAATTTCCACAAAATTCATAGATAACAGAAGTTTATCAATCGAACATTATGATTCAACAGAGAGAATATTCCAAAACGAAATCCCTTACAAACACAATTGAAAAATTAATAAAAAACAATAGAAAAAGTCATGCGCACCACGAAAGAAACAAGAACCTAGAGTTGCAAGCTTCGTTCGACTCTTAACAACTTTTAACAATTCAAATAATTCTTCGGACTTCAACAGCAGTTCATGGAAACTGTCTCAACAGTCCGATCATCTTCTGATTCTATCCATCGTTATTTCCAAAAAGATAAAGTTAACTCAAACTCCAAAAAAGCATGTGTACAACAAACCAATCCGAATCCTCTAAAATTCCACCAGCTCCAAAGCCAGGGAAAACATCTCAAAATCTTCGCATTTCAAAAAAAAAAAAAAAATCAAAACCACTTCAATTAGCTCCATCCACTCAAAACCAAATGCAACCAAAGCAACATTTCGCCACGTTTCACAATCAACCAAAGAGAGAGAGAAAGAAACACCTGCAACGATCTGATCCTTATTGCGAACATCGACATGGAAATACGAAGCCCGGCCAGCGACAAGCGCGTCAGAGAGGAGAGAATCCTGCTCAGAGGGATCGAGTTCAAGCGATTCAGCAGAATCAGCGATACGAACATTCCACTTAGCGAGTTTCAAGAGGCGGAGAACGAGAGATCGGCCGAGAAATCCACGACCGCCCAACACCACACAGGTCCTGGTATTCAATTCCACAAAGCGATCGTCGACCTCCATTTCCGATCGATAGGAGGAAAGATCAGAGAAAAATAAGAGAATTGAGAATGAGACAGAGAAGAAAATGCATTGAGGTCGTTGTTAGGGTTGGAATTCGACGCTGGAGAGAAGTAGTTGGCGCGGAAATTTCATACCTATAAAAAAAAAAATATATATATATATATATATATAATATTATTTAATTCTACCGGTAGTTCATTTAATTTTTGTTTTCCGTTGGACGGCTAATTATATATGCCCCCTTAATTATATTTTTGGTTCTTCAACTTTAAGCTTTTTCATATTTTGATGCTTTTAGCTTTTAAAACATTCACTTTATTCTAAAATAAAACAATATTTTGGTCTATATTAACAAAATAATAATCCATTATTAACAAAATAATAATCCATCATCATCATTGTCGTGTTCATCATTCTTCGATCTAGGAAGAGCACCATCGCCATCACCATCATCCATGTTCATCATTCTTCGATCCAGGAGAGTACATATCTCCACGTTGGTGTTCTCCTCGCAGACTTTTAAAGCATCCCCTTTAGTCCGAAGATAAATTGTTTTGGTATCTATTATCAAAATAATCAAATAGCCTTTCATGCTTAAATGATTAGGTAGTTGAGTAGTCCTCGTTGCATTACCATTGATAACATTCATCCGTGTTCGTCACTCTTTGATCGAGGAGGAACAAATATGCCAAAAGAAACGTTGGTGATTCTCCACGTAGCCTCACATATCTTAGTGCAAAAAGGAAATCTCTTGTGCTGTATGTTACTTCGTCGTTAGGTTTTTGTAGGTTCAAAATTGGATTTTAGTTAACTTTGCACTTTCGAGATTTGATATTTCAAATACTCTCTACCTTATTACTTGTTAAGACAGTATACACTTGCACGAGAGGCTTTAAGCAGCACGTATCATATACAATGTCTCAATCTGTGATTCACAATATCAAAATAGAGTTGCGACTCATATATTATCAATAGTTATGCTCTGCTATCAAGATCAAGAATCATGATTTGACATTCAACGATAATTCACTGTTGCATAATTGTATATACACGTTTAGTTCCTATTACAAGTTACTTCCTTTCTCCCTGTTCTACTCAATAATACGGATTTTCAAGATCAGTGAAATGAAACACTCTCCTATCTACATCACTAGCACGTCGCATATCAAACGTGCAAACAAGAACATAAAAGGAGAAGCAAAATTCCTTTACATTTATATAATGAACAACAATAATCTGAGCAATTCAAGAAAGAAAAACAAAGGGAATAACGATTATATTAATAAATACATACAGTTAGCCCTAACAAGCTTCTCAAATAATTACAAAGATACAACTGCTAATATCTTCAAATTCTACCTTCCCCAAATCCCCAACTCAGTCTATTAATTACAAATATACCACTAAATATTCCCAACATATCTCTGTTAGTATTCCTAACTCATGGTTACAAGAGGTGAGTATATATCCTTTAGGGTGAGGGCTCGGGGTAGACTCGAACAAAGCCACGGAAACGAGGATGGGAGAATGGACCCCGGCCAAAAACAAATGAGGGCAGAGATCACCACCAACATGTTAAAATCAAAAAACAAGCAAAGCCGAGTGATGAATGCCACCTGCTGATTCCGAGCAGCCGAAAATGGGTAAACGCCAATCGCACAGAGCTTCCAGCAATGCTATGGCGTGCTTTTTTTCAGCAGAGTTTCAATAGACAACCCTATGAGAGAGCACATTCGTCAAGAGTTTAAAGCCAAAAACAAGCAGGGTGAGACGTTGTGGATCGTTATAGATTACGTCAACAAGTTTCTAACCGTGTTCTTTTTGTCGAACGGTTGTAAATTGCAAATCATACATTAGAAAAAAATACATGTCAACCAGGAATGCAAGTGCATGGTTTCTGATACATTTGATGGGAAAAAAGAGTTAAGAACATTGCATTTCATTCCAACAAAAATAAGCCAAATATTTTCAGAGAGTGCAGGAAAAGAAAGGGCATCAGATATAAGTTACCTGCGCAATGAGCATGGGGGGCATGGCTACCTACAGCAGCGAGGTACTCATGGGATTTGCAAAGTAGTGATCATGGCAAACAAACTTCGAGTCTCTGTGGCTCGTGCCGAGGAGCGTTCCAAGAATACCAGGGGGGCCACTGAACGTACGTTGATACATCTTCCTCACTATGAGGTGCTTATCTAATATCATCAACTCTAACAGCTTCTTACAACTCTGAGAGGAGAGATGGTGCCAATAAATACTTCGCACAATCATATATTTGGAAAACTAATCAACTTCAACAGGCACATTTTGTAAAAGAATACGCATGTGTTTTTATTGCAATCATGAGTTCAGATGGAATTTTGAAGGAATATATTTGAAATTTTAGAATACCTGGGGATTCAAGACGTTCATCCGTCGTATAATCGCAACCTAACAAAAAATGCATAGGAAAAAAAAAACGAAAAAAGAAGCATTATCAGAAACAAGCATGAAAGGATGACAAGGTAACAAGAAGAAGACTCATTATTTTCAAAATAATGCAAAATGTGAGATGAACAGCCTAATAAGTAACTAATACAACATTATTCTCAAAATCATGCAATGCGCGGTTAAGACTCATTATCCGAAGTTCGATCTCTTATCTTCTTTACATACCCAATTAGCATTTGAAAAGCCGTCGATCATAAATAATCCATATATATACAATTCCACATTCGGGTGACACTCTTCGTTCCAAATTGTTCATCTAAATTCTCGTTTTTCAAATCACTCATGAATTGTGCTTTTAGCCCATCTGACTTGTGAAAGCAAAAGAGTTTTCCAGTCTCCATCCAAGCAAAGAACTTAGATGTTTTGATTCATACCTCCAACAAATCGTTGCTGAAAGATATAAGATCAGAAAATGAGAAAATCATACCTCCAGTATTCCTGGGTTTTGCATTACAATTCCTAAGATCCGCCTTCTAAGCCCCTTGTAGACAATTTTGTTAGTCGTCCCGTCTCCGTTTATCCATGGGAGTATTGGCATATTCAAACCATCAGAAGAGGCGCAAAACAATCCATTCTCATTCCCTGTTGTGTTTAAAATGGTTTTCTCCTTGGGATTGCGTTGATGCATACTGCTAGTTTGACTTTCCTTTGTGTTGTCATCAACTTCTGGAGGAAGATTGAGAACCGTTACTTTGTGCACCTCACCAACAACCATTTTATTTTCCATCTGGGAATTTGCAGCAACAGACATGTGATTATCTGGATTCTTCTCCCCAATGTTGTAGTTTTCTGGATGGAAAACCAATTGGCCATTACTTCTTCCAAGCATATCGACTGATGAGGGAGTAGCACGGTTTCGATTCGAACCAGATATCGATGTCAAAAAGTACTTGGGACGATATAAAGCATCAACAATTCGAGTACTGTCAAATGAATTCACCTGTACAAAATGCAAAATTAAAATAACTCAACTTCAAACCTAACTTTCTACATCCCACCACAAAATACAAAAGCTAGCCCAAAACTTTTAAGCTCAAGGAAATCGATTAGGTTAGTGCCTAGAGGTTGTACAATGTTACACTACACGTAATAATAGAAAATTCGTACTGAGCCATCAGTGTCAATGCTTCTTTTCATGCTTTCTTTTTTTCAACTAGAAATGATTTTCTAAAACAAAAATGGCCCCTCAAGGTGGTGGTATGGTGTCGTTTTTTCTTTTACCCTCTCGCTCAAGGCCTGAAACACTGCTCGAGTGTATAAGTTGTAGATCGATTAATGCCTATAAAGCATAAAAAAGATACTTTGCCCTGTTCTTGGTTTAATGATTAGCCCACATTTCTTACCCCCCACCCCAAAAAAACCATATAATGGATAAAGCCAGGACATAAACCAACGTTAAGATGGGAATATGATTACAGAATAAAACAAATACTATAAGCAATCAAATTACCACGAAAGGCATACTAACCTTCAGCACCCGTTGGAATGTTTGAAGAACATCAACGATAAGTTGAGGCAGCTTGTCTCCTAATTCAGTCGTAAGATACGGCTTTTCAGTAACAACACAATACTGATCCTAAAGATTAACTCATTTCATGGATTGAAATCACATGTAAAGAAAATAGCTAAAAACATGCAAAAATTATGGAATCTATACCTTGTAAATTAGCCACCTGGGAAACTTCCTCTATGCTTAAACCCTGGTCACCAGCCAACTGAATTGCAGAATAAACCAACCCAAAGACCTCTGGAGAGATGACACTCATTTGTTCTTGACAACAACCTACCGACATCAAATGATCTGCAAAATCTGTCATAGCTTGCCAAGTTGACTCACCACGATTTCCTAGAGATACAACCCCATCTGTATCGTACAGTGATTCCACATTGTCAAATGAAATACTGTTGTGAGTAGGTGAAACGTGAAATCTATAATTCCCACCAAAATGTTGGTCTTCAATACAATTCCAACTATCTGACAGCTCCATGGCATCTGTTCTTAAAATTGTAGTACGACAAACAGAAACCAAAATCCCAGGAAAACCTTTTTCTCGACGAGAAATAATTTCACCCTCTGCTGGTGCAAATTTCATCTTCTTAGCCCGAGTGTCCACCCACAGTTCACAGCTATCAACTTTTCGTTTTGAACTTCTCAAGTCTTCGGGTTCTCCAACGCCATCGTTGGGCAAGCAAGAAGAAATAGACAACTCTCCTGAAGAAACTAGAGCAAACAAATGGAAAATATCTCCGCATTGTAAATCAGAAGGAATATTAATCCCATTCTCCACGAGATCTTTGTCTTTTTCATGCAGAAACTTAGAAAATTTGGAAGCTCTCTCTCCAGTGTTCGCTGGAAACGGGGACTTTGAAATGCTATGCAGAAAACTTTGTGAGAGCACAAAAGGTTCATTATTGTTGCCTCCAATCTGAAAGAGAATGCCATGGTGAAACTTCCAATCTAGCCAACAAGCTTATGATCAAGGTGTACAAATACATTGAGTGCCATAGGAGAAATAAGGGAAAAAATCAAAATAATGGCTATTTAAGACGCAAACAAAATCATTTAAAGAGAATTAATAGCACAATGGAACAAAAGGCTGAAGTATACATTGAAGAAGCAAGACAATCAGACAAAGAACATGGGTTTTCACATATCACGTTTGATTTTTTGGATAAAGAAAAAAAAAAGTTAAAGAAAGTAGGTAACGAAAAAAGTAAAAATTGGAAAAAAGAAAATCTAATTATTTTGAGCACAAGACTCACCATGATTTTCTTTTCTCTCAGGTGGCTAAAAGCTGAAAAAAGATCATGTTCTGAGTAACGCCTTAAATTTTCAGCAAGGAGATTAGGTACTTCTAGAGCAGTTGAGGTGCTCAAGAAAACAAGCTTAAATAGCTCAACAGCATTAGAAACAGCCAATGATTCAAATACTTCTTTGCTGACATGCCTGCCATTCAAAATCTTCATCAACCGCCGATGAAGGCTTCTTGACTTTGATCTTCCCCTAGAAAATTGACATTGCTCTCCTCCCAGGTCTGCACTCTGAGTGGCAGACGTAAATCCAGATTCCTGGACAACCAAGGGCAAAACAAACAATTAGGCCTAGTACCATTCTAAAAGGGAAAAAGGAAAAGTTGATAAACATGCTCTTCGGCACACACATTTGCATCCAAAAAGTCACCATAGACAGATCCAACTCGTTTTGAGTCCTCCAACATTGTCATTTTCTTGTAATGAAGAACCTCATCAAGGGCCATCTTTACATCTTTATCATCAAAATCATCCCATTGCTCTTCCTGCAGATCCAACTCACTGTAATGTTCACTGTCGCCACTATTCCCATTAAGAGCTTTCCCATTAGAACTTGTTGCGATCACTTTGGGGTCATCTTGATGAACCGATGCATTCCCATTAGAACTTGTTGCGATGACTTTGGGGTCATCTTGATGAACCGATGCGTTCTTCGATTTTTCCAGGTACTTCACGTAATGCTTGCCAAGAATGTTACAAAGCCGCATTACAAGTTTTCTAAATCTTAGACTGCCATTCAGCCATGCCATTCTTTTTTTACAAGTACCTGGAGGTGCTGGCAAGTTAGAGATAGCACACCAATTTGTTCGAGAAAATTTTGCACCTCGAGATGCACGGTATCTGACATATTGGATGATCAATTGCCTGAAAGGATAACAAAAGAATCAAAAAAAGCAAAGATACATGTAAGAAAAGATATCATATTAAAAAGTAACTTAACATTTTTCACTTTCTCGTTAAGAATTCAAGAGTATCTTCACATGAAGCTATGAAAGTCATCATATAATCACATATGCGTATATGTACAGAAGAGAACCTCCAACAACCTATCATATACTTCAGAGAAAACATTTCACACGGTTACTCCTGCTATCTTCACTAGCTTGGATTTCATAACAAAATATGAATTTACAGCTTGTAGCAATTGAACGTGTTTACCCAAAAAAGAACCAAAAGCATGCATTGGCAGACAAGGTAAATGTTAATAAAATTTCCTTCATGGAGATCATATTAATATCATACTAATCTCTAAGGCCTGCAGTTGGAAAAATTGAGGCTTATAATTCATTGTTGATGTTGATATCTCAGGTAGTCATTGTCATCTTATTACCTATCTGTTTCATCAGTCCATATAAACCTTCTTTGACGAGTTGACTTTGTCATTGAAGAAGCAACAGAACAGTGTGCCTCGCCTTCCTCTTTAGACACAAATTCCTCTACAGTTTCTTGATGATCGCCATCCTCAAAAATTTCTTGCGAAGGATTGTTCTGCTCTCCTGAATTAGCAGCCAAATGTTTATCTTTAACATCAGATGAAATAGAAGTTTCAGGAAACGTGGTGACCCTTGCTTCATCCGACTGCTTGCTGACATCATCATACCGTGCACGCTTCCCTGGCCTCTCTTTTGGTAATCTTTTTCTCCTCAATGAATGGCCTTTAATTTTTTGTCTAGACTCCTTGTCTGTCCCTTCATCAAAGCTATTAAGACGTTCCTGTCGCCTATCATAATACACACGTAGAACCTGCAAGTGAAATTTTAGGAGAGAAATGCACACCTTTAATAAAATAATACATTGAGTAAAAGAAAGGCTAGTTCTTTTGAGAATTTACTGGGAAGTACAACAAACAATGCCCAGCTAGGAAACATTACTGAGCTGAGTAAAAGATAGTATTTTTTTTATAAAACAAAAATAAAAGGAAAAAGAAACAGACATTTCATGGATCGATGAAAAGATAGAAAAATCTATCGTCCCTTTACAAAATTTGTTTGCTGCCCAAAAATTTGTTTGTTTCCAATTGACTTTTTAGACATTGCTTAAGATCTCTCGCCTTTCTCAGCTCTATAAATTGTCTGGCAAGTGGTTGCTTTTCATAGATTATTGGCTTTACTAGCTGGCAGACTTTATGGGGAGGTCTCTTCTTTCGGCTGTCCATTTTCAAGGCTTGGTTTAAGTAGTATTTTTTCTTAGCATGAAATCAGACGTTGAAAAGAGTAATTTAGAATATACAAATAACAATATTACCTGTTCTAATGTCAGATTAAGATCCTTTGCTATTTTGTCACACTCTCTATATGAAAGTTTTGCACTTGGATCCCTCCTTGCCACAAGCTCCAGGAGTGCAGCACGCTGTTCGGCTGTCATAACCCGAACTGAAGCCCATGAACGGAAAAGAAATGCCTGATGAGAAAAAGAAAACATTGACGTGATGGGATCATTAGAACCGAAAACTACATTAATTTCGAACTATAAATGACTATTAATAGGCATGCTGCTAAAAGTTTAAATAATTACCTCGCGAACAGCAGACCCAGGAAATGCAAGCAGAGCAGATCTAGGATCAGCCGTGGCATAGCAATACTCAAAAGTTTGCCAATACTCATTGACAGCTTGCCTACTTGACAGCGTAAAGTCATGCCTAATTCTTGGCCGAAGATCTAGACACTTATTCATCAAAGATCTAGTAGCATCTTTTGAAACAGGTTCCTCAATGTAAGGTTTAAGCTCCAGTGCATGTTTTAAAGTGGCACGGCCACAATCATTGACATTGCCTGTATTTGCAGCTACAAACCTAACTAACTGAAATAAGGAATAAACTTGTAAGGGTACTTCAGCTCGAATTCAAACAAAAAAAAAACAATCATCATGCTTGATGTTTCAGTACAAATCATATTGTACTGTCGGCATCACGAGTCTCATGATCTAACACCAACCAGAGTAATAGATCCTATAAACCAACATTCAGTTTTCATACACAAATGCAAGTTCAAAATTACAACGAAATATAAAAATATTAGAACATCTAACATGAAAAAAGATTAGAGAAACAAAGATTTTGAAAAAACTAATAATTAAGATGCTTTGGAGGATTGAAAATCAATCATTAATTTTGGAGACAGACATCACGACAAGAAAGAAAAACCAATTCAAGAGATGTGCTCAAATTCTTTATTAACTAATTTTGAAAACAAACTACAGGAAGTATAAATAACAAGACAAAATAAATAAACAAACCCAAACTGAAAATGACAAGTTCCAAGTACTATTCTCGATAGCATAAAAGCTTTAGAAGATTGAAGAACAATCAATTCTCTATTTTGGATTATATTTTTCTTTCAACCAGCATAGCAGAGATCAGAATCAGAAATGCGATTTGCTCTAACCATTTCTGAAAAGGGTAGGTATGATAATTGGTATGCTACGTTTCTAGATGGACTATGTGGTTATCAAAGATAGATAGGTTCTCCATGATAGGAAAGGATCGAAACATTGAGAAAATATGGTGTTTAGTTCTGTTCAAAATATTGGTTTGAGCTTCTCGATCGTTACAAATTTTGTAATAACTCCATATGTTCTATTCTTAATTCTTAAGGTTCTGACTGATCATGTATAAATTTTTTTTAGTTATATTATCCAGTCCCTCATTTGCAGTTTCTATTTGTCCTCCCATAATTATTGATGGACGTTTCCAGACTTTAGTCTTGGCCAGTTGACAAGGATAACTGCTTCAAGGGCCCATAGATTGCTATCTTGACATTTGTTGAGATGGACAAGGCTAAATCCGTATGTAAAATTGATAAAGGGCCTATCCTTCATTGAAGATAGATGGGTATGGCTAACAAATACTACAAGCTTCTCGATGAGGCACTTATTCAATAATCCTCCTCCCAATGAAAGCACACAGCTTCAATATCTATACGATAGAATTTGGAGGACAAATATCACAAGAAAATCTAGTTTTTCTGCTGGAACCTCAGCCGTAACTCCATCAACACTCATGATTCCATTCACAAAAGGCTCCCGAGTATCACTACCTCACCTAGCTGCTGCTTCTAGTGCATGAGAAATTCAGGAACCTAATTCGTATCTTTTGAATTTGCTAGCAAGTTTTGAAATTGGATTCTTGTTTCTTTTGGATGGCAGACCCCTCTCCACACCAAAATTTCCTTTGCTTTCCATGTTATCCTGGAAGGCCACCCTTTCAAAAGGAGAGGGTCCCTCTAGTATGATCAGAGCTTTTCTTTGGTACATATGGATGGAGAGGAACAACAGAACCTTCAAAAATAAGAAATATTTGTTTCCTTTCGTTGGTGTAAAGGGTTTTTTCAGCTCTTGGTTGTTGTAAAGGGTTTTTTCTTTCCTTTCGCAGAGGCTTAAGAGATCTTATGATGAAAATGAAAGGATTTTTTGTAATCCAGTTGCTTGGGAGCTCCTCCCTTTTTGTACTTCCATATTACTAATGAAATATTTGTTTCTAACAGAAAAAACATAGACCGAATGTGCAGACAATGAATCTTACAATACCTATGAACAAGGGCTATTGAAATCTGAAACATAGCATTTCCTAATTTTTTGTTAAAGTAAATTACAATAAACTTGAAATTTTAATACGTGCAAGTATTTCATTAATAACTTATTGACCTCGTGAACTCATATATTAGAAGTGACCATGAAATTTACCTTCAAACGCCGTAAAATATCAATAATCACCGAGAGCCTTCCAGTACCATTAGCATCCATCATATGCTTGTACTCCTCAGGAGCAAGGTCAGCAAGTGACAAACCCCTCTTACATTTATCCAACATATCATCAAATTTTTTAGTAGACCCAACAACTTGAAGGAAAAGCTCAACTGGGATCGACTTAATTGCGTCTTCTAATAAAAATGGCTTGTAGCTAGTGTGAGGATTTTTCAGATCATGGACAAATCTTTCAGATGAGGAAGTACCACCAGAATCATCCGAACAGTTTAGGTAATCCCACAAAAAACAATGAAGCAGCTTTGCACGGATCATTTTTGCCAGTACAAATCCATTTGCACGCATGGCTTCTGATCGTACTGCAGCAATGTCAGGATCCATATAGTGCTGTGTCCTTTGGACACCTTCTAATACAGGAAGCAACACTTTCCTCTTCGCCTTTTTTGAGTTATGACCACGACTTTGGGCTTCAAATGACCTCATTTTATCATGAATTTCACTTAGAAGTTGAGGAGATAAAGTCTCAATAGAAGGATGCAAAATCACCTGGGTGATACGAGTACGGCCACAATTTGTGACAACAGGAACATTGATGTCTATGCATTTACAGTGTCCTTCACTTTGCAATTTGTTTATACTTCGGAAAATAGTTCTTCTATCTGTTGTTGTGGTTTTGTCTGTCTCCTGATCAACAATCCACCTAAAAAGCTCGCCTTTCAAAACAAACTTCTCATCCTACAGGGGAAAAAATATGGGAATACTATTTTAGACAAAGAGCGTAAACCTGTTTGGTACGTATCTGGAAAATTGTCCAGACATATTGAACTTAGAGACGATGTGAGATTGTAAAATCGGTCAATTTCTCTCTAATTACAGATTTAAAACAGTAAGCAATGCAAATTTAACATGTAAATCATTGAGAAAACCTGTAGCCGTTCAAGAATTCTTTGCTCCCTCCTAGCACTACCCACAGTAAGAGGTAAACACGGATACTTCTGATGTGATACAGAAACTGATGATTTTAACAGAGCCGCTGGAGGTGTTATTAATCCAGAGTTTGTTTCGACGCCTGCATTCACTGAACAGGGTTCTACATCAGGATTGGAGCATGTTGGCATAGAAACTGACTCTTGTGGCAAATGGATAACTCTGAGGTCAGTCTCACGATCGCCATGCAGCTTATCATTAACTTCAGTTTTCATTTTTCCATCCCCTGTTGTTCTGCGACTTGCACTGTCAACTTTCAAATTTGTGTCTACAGCCTTTGCAAAGCTACTTTGAGAAGTTGTTTCAGCTAACTTCTTAGTATCATTTACACTGGAAGTATGATTAATGCAATTTTCAATTTCATTATTTGCATCTTTTGATTTATGAAAAAATTGACTATTATATTCAGGCTTGAAATTCCCACGTGTCCACACTCGATAAAGATTGCATTTGTTGTGAGTTTCAGCTTGAAGATGCATTCCAAATCTAGTAAACATATTGACAAGTCGGCCATAGTTTCTTTTGTGATCAATTCCAAGCCTCTTACAAACCTGCACACCACAGACAACAATGGGATTAATGGCTGAAAGGAAACAAAGTTCTTACTTCATAATGACTAAATCAAAATAATACCAGGGGGTTCAAACCCGGGGAAGACATTGAACTCATTATCTAACAGGTGAGTCAAACAATAGAGAGCAAAATAATAAATGCAGTTTAGACATTGTGACTTGGCTATGATCAAATGCAATGATTCTATGTTTCTGCCTTCAAAGATTATGCCTCGATGATATTACAAGACTGACGCCATCTTTCTGTATCGAAAAATGTATCTCCAAAGCCTCAACATTATGAAGTAAAATTTGATGCTAATTTATGACGAGATGAACTACTGAAGTGAAGAGAAAAGTTGAAACATGCTAATAACATTCAGAAGAAAATGACTCGTTGTCGTATGAAATCTCAAGTTTTTTTCATGTTTCAATATCCTGATAAAAAGGCAATGAATCTAAAGAAAAAAACAAAACAAAAAATTGCAGTCCTATAATATTCAAGAAGTAAATAACACACCTCCATCACTGTTATGCCCTCAAAGCCAGCAGCATCAATCATATCATAGATTTGATGCTCTATAGCAAGCTCAGTGAGTTGATCAGTTACTTGACATTTCCTCCCAAATTTCATATGATGTTTATAACCAGAACTATCATCTCCCCCAAGAGCACTTGTCTCAAAACACTTTGGAGAGAACTTCTTTAGCAGACGTAGACAACAATCAAACTGTGAAAAGGCGAAAGAGTTGTATTCAAATGAAATAAACGTAAAGGTAGCAGTTTACAAATGAAAAGAACATAAATGCGAGAAAGATTTAATGAAACATGAGATTCCACTTTACAGAGTTAGAATGTTAGGAAAAACAAGTGACAATAACTTTTTCCCAAGGAAAACAATTACATTAATGAGAAAAGGAGTGAAACCAAGGTCCAACAAAGAGAACACAGTTGAAAAACACAGTTTGATTATTTTGTATGTGAAACCAAGCTTTTATTGAGAAACATGAAAGAATATACAATGATAGAACATAATGGCCTCTAATCCAATAAAATGACAATTCCAAATGATCTGATCAAGATCCTCAAACCCCAGTCGAATGGGAGGAGTCCAATAAAAAAAGGGGCCTCTAATCCAGAATTATCAAACCTAGACGGAAATTAAGAAAATCTTGAGAGATAGAAGCCATTAAAATGACAACTCCAAATGATCTGATCAAAAACGAGCATCCCTCAAGAAAAACGTGAAATATTTCCAACAAGTACAAATGACAATATGGCTATAATAAATAAAAAAATAATTAAATTTGAAAATATGCTCTCTCCACTTCACCCTCCACCTTCGATGGATACCTTTTAAGAAAGAATTTCTGGTGGTTTTGTTTCGTTAATTCTTTCATTCTTCATTTTCAGTATTTGGGCTTCTACTTCTACAGGGGATTTTCTATGCAACTTTTCAAATAGCAAATTTTCTGATCCCAAAACAACTACGTGAAGAATCCCCCCCTAAACATGTATGTTTTGGATATCATACATAATATCGATTGGTAAAAATGTACAAAATTTGCTAGGGAAGATAAGATTAACATCAATAAAATCCTTGGAAAAGTGATACATTGTTACATAGATACTAAAAGAAAATTGTAAAATAGTTTATGTTCAAAACAAAAAAAGGAAGACGTTGTAATGTTAGAAAGACATGCTTTAAAAAAATACCAAGATTACCTTATTGTCCACTTTAGCCTCAAACACCTCAATAATGTGAGCCCTTTCCAATCTATTACAGACCTGGCAGCATATTTTCAACATAAAAAAGTTTTAGAAGTTGGAGCCTCGAGAAGAATTTAACAACAAAAAAACCGGTAGATCAAAACATAACGGCAGGGAAGTGCAAATAAAATCCAACCTCTCTCCAAGCTTTATGCCCTGAAGAAGATCCAGTATAACCAAGATCCTTCTTAATATCAGAAACAACAAGAACCTTCAACAAAAGTAATAATGCAATTAGGACTAATCCAAAATTTCTATAATATCTATCATCAAATGTGTTCACTGTACACAAGTCATTGATAGAGCTGCAAAACATAAATAAAGTTCACCTTTCCATTGGCTGCTTCAAGTTTATCACATATAGCTTCCATTTTTGGTAAATAATCCTTCACAAACACGTCTTCCTTGATGCATTTTACAGGCATACCATCTTCATCAGCGGCACTTTCTACTGGGTCTCCAAGCTGCTCAATATTATTTTCTTCCACAGTAATCCAAAATTTCTGTTGACAGCCCAAATGCTTTGCATATCGGTGCAAGTACATCAAATTGGTACTCACAATTGGACTATTTCTCAACTCCCCAGTATTTACAGCTTCTTTAGTTCGGACAACTGCAGATTGCCTCGTAATTAACCCTTGACACTCAAGGCTCTTCACTACATAAAAGAAGTTTCTTCCTTCAATCCCAAATTCTTTAGCAAGTTGGTTTTGCGTCACTCCATTTTTTCTGCAAGTTATGTATTGGATATTACTTTTCCTAGGTAATTAGAGTACTAGATAACCGGTTACAACTAATTCAAATATTTCATAGCTTGTTGCCTTAGTGGATGGGCCTAAAATGACAACAAAACGTTTGATCGTAGATATCCATAAATGAGTCCCAGGAAACATAAACAGAACATCTCATAAAAAAAACACCAAAATTCATAATCACATATACATGCACGACAAATGAAGGCTGCAGAATAAGCCAAATCAAGCCTACACAGAGCGTACCTAGCAATAGCGAGGCGCTCAAGGACACGTCTCTGATGGGCGGACATGTTGGAACTGGCTGATCGCACATTGTAGAGCCCTACAAAGTTATCCCTCAAATACTCTTTGCCCATAACCTTCACATTCAACCTTTCCGCGTTTTCGAAAGACCGGATAGATGGGTCCTTAGCATCATAGGTCACCTTGCCAGCATCGAATTGCAAGGATGGGATGCTACGGAGTTGGGTCCAGACAGCAGTCTTGACACCATTGGAGAGGTCGAGGCCGGAAGCTGAGAGAGAGGGTTCGAGCCTGGACCACAGATTGCGGAGAGTGAGTCCGTTCTGACCCTGTGAGCAAATTTCTTCGACGGCGGAGGAGACAATTACGTCCATAGTAAGCAGTCAGCAGGCGGAGAGTTTGGTTGTGAATGTACGGAGAAAGAGCATTGTTTTCCGATCAAGGCCGCGACTCGCCGGAGAAACAGAACGCAGAAACGAAATTCGGCGGGAATGGGGGAAGGGTGTCGAATGCCCTTTCGACTGTATAATCTTAAATTCCTCGAAATCGCTCGAATTATAAAACTCGAGAACGAAGAATCCCTATACTTATTACTTGCTTTTTTACTTTTGACTTTAAATATATTTAAAATGATGATTTATTTTTAATATTTTTTCTTTAAATTAGTAAAATTTAAATAATATTTAGACTTTTTTAGCTTTAAAATACTGTTATAAAGATAAAGGGTATTTAAAAAATAATAATAATAATTTAGTTTATGGGTGTTATTAAAAAAATTACGAAATATTTTCTACACTTAAAAATAAATATTTAAGTAGCAGTACTACCATTTGATAGATTTTTTTTTTCAACTTTTTTCTCTTTTTTTGTTAAAATTAGTGGATAAATCTCGTTTAAATTTATTATGAGACAAAAATAGCATTAAATTTCATTAAAATTGAAGAATTCTTTGAAAATCGATATAATTTGGGGGGTTACGTCCATCAGGAGGCCCAGCGTAAGGCTCACGGCCCAATACATCAAGATCCAACAATACAGGCCCAAAACACTCATCTTCAAATTCCAAATTCTTGTCCTTGGGCCCAGGCCCATAACCTGGCAGTAAGGTGCAATGTCATGCTGCACAGGGCTGAAATCATGGTCGCAAACAGAGCCCATTTAAAATGCCTCCATAACTATAAAGCCCAGGCCCAGCATAAGGCCCCACGGCCCAACTCATCAAGCTCCAAGAACTCAGGCCCAAAAGTCTCATATTCAGATTCCAAATTCCAAAGCCCAAACGGCTTTGACTGTCCTTGGGCCGACGGCCCATAACTTGGCTGTAAGGTGCAATGTCATGCTTCACAGGGCTGAAATCATGGTCCCAAACAGGGCCCATTTCAAATGGGTCCATTACTACAAAGCTCAGGCCCATAGTAAGCTAACTCAGGCCCAAACATCTCATCTTCCAATTCCAAATCTCAAAGCCCAAAGCACAAACGGCATTGATTGTCCTCGGCCCAACGGCCCATAACATGCTGCAAGAATGTTTGGGCTAACGGCCCATTATCAGGCCCAAAACATTTTCCGTTTTCGTTTGTAAGAATTTTTTTAGTACAACAAGAATACGTACTCCTTTTGTTCACTGCATGATGTTATTTTTACAAGTAATTTTTGAATGTCAATATATCCCAGTCATTTTTTAGATGGTGTTGACAAAGGTAGAAAATAGCTTCTTCTTTTTTTTTTTTTTTTTTTTTTTTACTTGCTTCAATAATTTACCGATTTTCTTTTCTTAATACAATAAATATAGAATATGGAGAATTAAACCTTTGACCACAATGATAAATATAGCTGATCTCAAATTAAGTACAAGTTCTAACAATGAGAAACATCATGATAAATGACAGGAGCATTAAGTATTAAAATATATATTTAACCTCAACAAATCTTAATCAATAATCAATGAGTAAATAGAAATACCTTACCGAACTGATTTCCACAGCCCTGTAGCCATAGAAGATTGCAGACTGGTAGCATCACTCTCCAACCAAATAGATGCCTCCATTGGCATAGCTGAAGCAGGATTCAGATCAGAGAATCTAAAACACCCGAGAACTCGTTCAGGAAGCTCACATTTTGTTTGACCTTCAATCAGAAACGCTACATCAGCTGTCATGGCTGTGAAGTAACCAAACACCAAATGAAACATGGCCTTCGCCACAATATTCGATCCAATGTCGATGTCGACTTCAAAAAAGTTGTCGCCTACGACGTATTTACACGAAAGCATACGCCCGACCACGCAGATCGCTTGCTCCCCAACAGCCTTTTTCACAATCCAAGGGCCTTTTATAATATCAGCAATCATTTTAAGCCTCGAGTTTCTGAAGTGGTCGTCACCTTTAAGGAACTGGTCGATCAAGGAGCCTTTGGTAATGGGCTCTGTGGATGCAAAGTAAGAAACAATGTTGTAATTCTCTTTGCTTGGAAGTTGTAGATTAAACGCCCAGATAAAAGGCCTTGGACCTGTAGGAAATGAATCCTCAATAGCCTTCTGAACACGACTGTTTGGATGGTTCAATATCTCTCCAATCTTTGCAGAACTCCTTATCCAGTCGAACCCGAGAGGTTTTAGAAGCGTTTCGCCTGCAGGAACTTTCACCTTAGTTGAAAAATACTCTGGACCTCTCACCAGGAACTTGTCCCCATGGGGAGAACCCCAACAATTTGAATGGTCAGCATTTGCACCAAGAAATGGAACATTCCCTCCTGATTTCACTCTTTCAATCCATTCAAGCTCATCTTCACCAACATTTGCCATAAGTCATCCTACATACAGTAATATATAATTCAATTGTTCAATTGGCGAAGTACAAAGATATCTAAGGAAAACGGCAAGGAATTTATGTAAAAGAGAGAAGAACTCATTCTATGCTTCTAGTCTGATATGCCATGTTGAGTAAAGGGAATCCAAAAATATTGAGAATTTAATATGAGGAACATTCATTGTTGTAACGGAAGCGAAAGCAAAATCGATCGCATTCACACACCCTCAAACAGAAATTAAACAAAGAGACACAAAAATTTATGTGATTCGGAGAGAAGAAATTCCCCAACATCCACGGGTAGCAACCAATCTTAATAATCAAAGTGTTTAGAAAGTGTATATCTCACACTCTTGCACTACAAAGTCTCTCAACAAAACTCCTCCAAAATGTCACTCAACAAATACAAAAATTACACTCAAACTCAATCAAACTCAATACTTCTCAACCAGCCTAGACAATCCTTTATATAGGCATACAAGCATTAATGTCATACATGAATTAAGATGATTCATCTATCAAAATGGAAGATAAACCAAAAGGGTGATGAACCAAATAAATGAGAGTTATGAACTAATAAATGCCAATACATGAGATGCTTGAACATATTCTTAATTGACAACTTACAACACATTCGTGTTTGACAAGAGTAAGTTCTTTACACTGCCTGATTTCTATGTCAATTGAGCTCAGAAATTGAAAGGAAAACAACATAGAATTGCCATGAAAACTAAAATCCCCTACATCTTACTTCATTGCAGACAACGAACCTTTAATCATTCCCCAAGTGAACTTTCAATCACCAATAGCTTTACATTAAGTGAAAATTTTGACGAAATATGAATAAGAACAGAGTTAAAAGTGGAATATAAAACAACAATTTCTGTTTCATGTATTCAAGCAGTTCATAGTCACTATTACTTCTAAGCCAATTCAGCTGATAATCACGTAATTTTCCTCTAATCACCACTCAACTATGAACATGACAATGAACTCAATCATAACAAGGAGTCCAAATTCACAGAACATGGAAAGGTATCATCAATCCAAAACTCAACTACTACAAACCAAACAACTCAATAACCACAATTTCATCTCTCGACAGTCAAGCGCACGATAATTTAGCAAAACTAAACTTGCAAGAGCACAGTTCCAATCTCAGATGAATAGTAAACAAAATTGGTAAGAAAAGGCTTCAATAATTTACAAGAAACCGAAGCAAATCCATACCAACGACTTACGAGCGCGCAATCGAAGAAACAGGAGAAAGCAACCTCAATCGCAAGCTGCAGAGCAGAGATTCCAGCAATGACAACGCACTAAAAACCCTAACCAGAGAAAAAGAAAGAACAAAACCACGCAATCTTGGAAGAAATTTCAACTTCTACCATCTACCTTAGTAAGAACAATCTTCTCAAAATTTCCACATGTTGTTTTCATTGAAACGCTTGGAGATTGAAAAAGTAGAGCAAACGACTTGTTTGTTTCTCCACTTTCAGAGCTTTGAGAAGATTCGTGATTTAGGTGGAGCTTGGTTGCTTTAGAACAAAGAAAAGCATCTGAAGAACCGTTGCGGCCATTGAAGGAAGGATGGAAGGCTCCGGAAAAGACGAAAACTCAAAGGTCAAGCATTAATGGCGATCAATAAAGAACCATTGCTACTTTCTGCATAAATTCAATGAGAGATGGTCTCTTACAATTGGCTGTTGATAAATTGAATGAAGATTTTATTGAAAGGATTCCTAACTCTAGTGCATTTAATTTCCATGGACACGTAGGTATTTCTTTATTTCCACGTCATTTTCACCACATATGAACGAGAGGAATAGTCCTAAGTTCACTAATTAACGACGAGGACGTTAGGCCCCGAATGGGAGTGAATTACATCAACTGGAGAGGAGAATGACGAGCACATTGGACCCTGAAGGAGTGAATTGTGAGATCACATATCTCAAGTTTGAACTATTACACCAAGTGGATCAAGAGCTGTATGCTACGGATCACTCGAACCTTGATACATTTTTTGTACTTACGAACTAGATGTAATGACCCAGATCTACCGCTACCAGCGGTTGTCCTCTTTGAGCTTTCACTTTCGGGCTTCCCCTCAAGGCTTTAAAACCCGTATGCTAGGGGAAGGTTTTCACACCCTTATAAATGGTGGTTTGTTCTCCTCCCCAATCAATGTGGGACATCACAATCCACCCCCCTTCGGGGCCCAGTGTCCTCGCTGTCACTCGTTCCTTTATCCAATCAATTTGAGACCGCCCCCAAATCCACCCCATTTTAGGGTCCACGTCCTTACTGACACACTGTCGTGGGACATCACACTAGATAAGAGCGCATACTGGGTAGGTTAGAAAAATCTCTTAGACCAACCCGAAATTTAAAATTAAATTATCGAGTTTTTTTTTAATCACGTGTTAGTGTATACATTTGTCTCATTACGTTATTCCTAGCATCTCAATGCTAGTCCGGACAATTTAAAATATCTTAAATTTTGTTGGTATAAAAAGAATTAATAATACATACAATTTAAAATCATTCTAAAATTAAATCAGCTTTATTAAAAAGGATATTATAAGATTTATATTTAATGCATTAAAGAAATTAAAATACGTGTAATATAAGCTTAAGAAGATAAAAGTAAATAATTAAAATATGCCACTTTTTAATATAAAATTAATATATTTTTTTCTATTCTAAATTATAATATCCAAGAAGGGATTATAGTCATAATATTTAAATTAAATTTTATTTTAA